GTCCTGCAGCTCCTGCAGAAGGTAATGGCCTGACTGTGTGCTCCTGGGGGCTCAAGGCAGGGGACCAGATCCTGCCAGCTCTTGACAGGTGGCTGGCAGGCAGCGAGAGCTGCCATGGGGTGCCAGTAGCCATCAGCTGCCTCTGACCTGTCACCCCCTGTGCAGGAGAAGGAGAAGCTCGTGTCTCTGGAGAGGCGATACCAGCTTGTCACAGGTGGCAGGAACTTCCCAAAAATGTCCTCAGCTCTCCGAGAGGTAAGTTGGTAGAGAGGAGGCTGTGGTCCTCAGAGCTGCTCTCTCTCCTAAGCTGCAGCCATCAGTGAGAATGAGCCTTGTGCACCACCAGCTTTGCTCTGCAGCAGTTCCCAAGTACCTTCTGACCAGAGCCAGGTGCTTCCACCTGTTCAAAGTCTCTCCATGGGCTGCAGAGGTTGTGGGGGAGGAAGGGGAAATGCAACAGAGCAGCCCATGGGACAGGATTGCTCAGGGTTCCATCACTGCTGGAGAGCAAGTGTGGGGATGTCTTGGTGCTGGTCCAGGGGACTTTTAGGTGGGAGTGAGTTGCCCCATTACCTTGCTCATGGCTCTGGATGGGGAGCCACGACCATGATGCCCTCAGGGGCTGTGGTACTGCCTGACCTGCTGCTGGTAAGAGGCACAAGATGGCAGAGTCCCCTCGTGCCTGCCTGCAGTGGGACTCCTGCTGCTGCCACCTTGCTGTCTCTGCCCACCTTGCCTATGTGACCTTTACCCTTCAACAGGAGACCCTCCACATCTCAGAACCTTATGAGCTGTTGGAGGGACCTAAGCCCCTGAGCCCCCTGCCAGCAGCAGCTGCCTCCTTAGCTTCTCCTGCCACCTACTCCTACCCCAAGGCACAAGAGGTAACTAACTAGAGGGACTAGCTGCATGTGCTTGCTCACTTACCCCTCCTTGGCTGAGACCCCTTTTGTGGCCTAATGTCACCCCCAGGCAGCAGGGCAGCCCCACAGCAGCATGGCTGGAGCATTTGTCATACAGATGTCTGGCAGTTGTGCTCATTAACATTCAGTCCCTGATTCCAGGCACGCTCCTGAGCCTGCTGGGCATCCCAGTTCCAGCCACTGCCCCCTAACTTAATCCTGGTGCAGCCATTTCCCCCCTTGCTCACTGCTTGCCATCTGGCTAGGCACCTCCTGACAGCATCCTGTAGGGTCGTGCTAGCATAGCTTTCCCAAAATAAGAGCAAGTCCCCAGCTTTAGCATGTTTGGTTCAGAAAGGATGAGGAAGTGGGTTTTAAGCTGGCTCAGCACAGCTCGAGGTGCCTCCCCCAGTGCTGCTGCACTAGGGAGGACTTGTGGTCCGTGGAGGACCCTGAGGCATCCCTGCCCCTTGTGGGCACTCAGCAAAGCTGCACTGGAGGCTGGAGCAAGATGGGTGCCAGCACACCCAGCCCAGCTCGAGCACCCCAAGGTGCTGCATGCCGGGGACACCACGGGCAGCAGGGCAGGGCTGGGGAGGCAGGGTTGGGGCAGGAATGCACAGGGAGGTTTGCTCCCACTATGCAGTCAGTGCCGTGATGTCAGCACATGGGTCTAACTCTTCTCCTTCTCCCTTGCCATGGATTTCTAGGAGTACATGAGGCTGTCTGACGTTTTCAGGTTCTGCAGTAATGCACATGGCCCCAGCCTGGACACTAAAGCTTCTGCTGCTGCCCCTGCTGCTGCTCAGAGCTCTTTCTTGCTTGCTGTAGCTCCCACAGCCAACGAGGTACCTGCCCCAGAGCATGCTCGGGTTTGCTCCCTCGGGTTGCCTGCAGGCAGGGAGGCAGCTGCAGCCCCCCGTGTGCCCTGGGGCCTGGAGCCACATCTCTCTGGGGTCAGGACGCTTGTCTGGCTGCAGCTGCGTGGGGAGCAGAGGCTCCAGCTGCCCGGTCTCCTTGCTGGGGTGCACTTCTCGCCCGCTCTGGATGCAGTGGCGGGGCAGGAGCAGAGTGGGTGCCCAGCAGAGGGAGGGGCAGCCCTTTGTCTGTTGGCTGCAGTCCTGGCCGCTTGTCTCAAGCGAGGAGGATGCAGAGCAGGCCTGACCCTGTGCCCAGCAGCAGGGTGGCTGCTGCACCGACTGCTTTTCCTCCCAGGACAATGAACCTTCCTGTGGGGGTTGGAGCTTCCTGCTCGTTCCTCTGTGCCTGCTTGCCCCAGCTCTTAACCTGGTTCAATCTGCTTCTCTCTGCCCAGTATGTGACCGTAGAGCAGCTCTCGGGTATCCTGGGCAGCCTCCACACCCCTGCTGCTTCCCTGCTGGGCTGTACCCCTCCGGCTCCTTCATCCTCAGGCTGTGCTCCTCCTCATCCTCCTCTTCCATCTCTCCCTTCTCCCTTCATCTCTGCAGAGGTTGGTGCCCTGTTTCCCTCCCTTTGGCCCCTTGTACTCTCCCTGGGAGGTGATGGAGATGCATGGGAAGGGGTGAGCTGCAGATGGAGCTGAGCAGCAGCTCAGGCTCTTGACACTCCACACACCCTTGGCTGTCCTGCCTGCTGCTCCACTGTCCTCAGGGCAGGGGGTCTTTGTGTTTGATAAGTTCTCACATTCTCTTGAACAGCAAACAGCTCCTACAGCTGCTGGGACTTAGCCACGGAGTGCGCAGGATCCCCAGGGGTCTGCATGTTAAGTTCTGGGGGAGTGGTGCAGGCATAGGCAGGAATGCTTCAACCTCTTCTCTGTGCATCTGTCCCTCTTGCTGCATTTGTCCTTCATCCTTTCTCACGCAGCCTCTCTCTCCAGATGGAGCAGCAGCTGTTGGGAGGCCCTGTGTGTCTCCCAGCTCTTGATTTAGAGAAGTGGTACCAGGAGGTTATGGCTGGGACCTCCTCTTCCTCTGTCTCTCCTTCTTCTTCCCCTCCTCCACTTCCAGCTAAAGCTCACTCCTCTCACAAGGCTCTGCAGGTAATCCTGGCTCTCTGCTGCCTAGGCTTAGGCTTTGGGGCCGCTGGTTGTGGCCAAAGTGGGGCAGTGTGGGGACGTTCCTGTGGACCCTGTACCCTGAGTGCTGCTGGGGCTCTGGCTGTCACTGCAGGCAAAGGGTAGGCAGTCTCTGCCTCCTCTCGGGCTGCATCCCTTTGCCAGGATGGCACTGACACAGAGCAGGATCTGGGGAGCCATCTGTCCAGGAGGACTTTTGCAGTTCCCCCATATCTCTGTCGTGCTGTGTCTCTGTGCTCAGGTCTATCGTGCAAAAGCAGAGGCTGGTGCTGGTGTCCTCACCCCTCGGATGAAGAGCGGGACGCCTTCGTCCTCGCAGCTCAACCTCTCGGTGCTGGAGCGCAGCCCCTCTCCCAAGGTATGGCTGCCAGGGGACCCAGGCATCCTGGCCATGGCTCACGCCTGCCTGTGCCAGCCCCCGTGCCCATCCTCGCAGCTGACCACCCACTGTCCTGCCCAGGGCCCCCCCAGCCCGGCGGGCAGCCTGTCCCGCAACCTGGTGGCCACGCTGCAGGACATCGAGACCAAGCGCCAGCTGGCCCTGCAGCAGAAGGGTGAGCTCTGGCTCTGTGTCCTGGCTCTGGGGGGTGGTGGGACCTCGGGAGACGCTCTCCCTGCTGCCACTTGGGCAATGGAGAAGGGAGCCTGGCCGAGGGTGGCGACAGCAGCAATGCTCCAGCAGAATGCGGTGCCTCTCTCACAGTCTCTTGCTTTTCCCCCCTCTCTTTCCTCCTGACCCCTCCACCTGACGGCCCATCTCCAGCCAAGCTGCTCCCAGCAGAGCCCTTGCAGCCAGGCAATCTACCAGGTAGAGATGTGGGGTGACTTGGACTGCCTAGAGCAGCCCAGAGGCAGCAGCATGGCTGTTTGCTGGCATCTTCTGCCATACATAAGAGGGGCATGACCAGTCCAGGGTGCCAGGTGGATCTCAACATCTGCTAAGAGACAAGCCTGTGCTTCCCTAGCTTGCAAATGCTTTGCCCTGCTTGTTCCTTACCAGCCTGGCGCATGTGTCCCCTGCTGCTGCCCAGACAGGTTGCAGTGCTTGCCAGAGAGTTGTGACCGCAGCTCCCACCTCTGCCCCTACCATGCCTTCGTGGTTCCAGCTGTGCCTGTAGTGTCTTCTGCCTGTGCCCACCCCCTTTGCCCACCATGCTGTGGCTCTGAATGTGGCACTTTTAACTTGGTGTTGTCATCTTGCCATGGCACAGGTCGGCAGGTGATCGAGGAGCAGAAACGGCGGCTGGCAGAGCTGAAGCAGAAAGCGGCTGCCGAGGCACAGTCCCAGTGGGAAGCCCTGCATGGGCAGCCCCCCTTCCCCACTGCCTTCCCCCGGCTTGTGCACCACTCCATCCTTCACCACAGCCGTCCCCATGGTGCCGGACCCCGGGCTGAGGAGCTGGACCACGCCTATGACACGCTCAGCCTGGAGAGCTCAGACAGCATGGACACCAGCATCTCCATTGGCAACAACTCCGCGTGCTCGCCTGACAATATCTCCAGGTAATCCTGGGGCCAGCTCCTATGGCCAGAGGACAGCTCGCTCTGCTGGTGTGCTGCTGGCTCAAGGTCCTTTCCTGCTGGGGCAGCAGCTGTGGCTATTTTGCAGTGCCAGCGGGATGGAGACAGGGAGGATTGAGGAGATGGAGAAGATGCTGAAGGAGGCACACGAGGAGAAGTCACGGTTGATGGAGTCCCGGGTGAGTGGGGGCACCAGCGCCGCGGCTGGGTGGCAAGCAGGACTCCAGTGCTGGGGCTGAGTGCCTGTGCGTGCTGGCAGGAGCGGGAGATGGAGCTGCGGCAGCAGGCGCTGGAGGACGAGCGCTGGCGGCGGGAGCAGCTGGAACGCCGGCTGCAGGATGAGACCGCGCGGCGGCAGAAGCTGGTGGAGAAGGAGGTCAAGCTGCGGGAGAAGCACTTCTCACAGGTGTGAGGCAGGCTGCCGTGCCCCTCTCTCAGCCTGGGCTGTGAGGCACACCCAGCTTGCTGCCGCTGTCCCAGCTCGCAGCGGAGGGACGTGGCTCTTGTCACTGTCGGTGGCCTTTGCAGAGCTGTGTTGCTTTTCCAGGCTCGTCCCCTGACACGGTACCTCCCCATCCGCAAGGAGGATTTCAACCTGCGGCTGCACATCGAGTCATCGGGCCACAACGTTGACACCTGCTACCACATCATCCTGACAGAGAAGATGTGCAAGGGCTACCTGGTGAAGATGGGTGGGAAGATCAAATCTTGGAAGAAGCGCTGGTTTGTCTTTGACCGCATGAAGCGCACCCTCTCCTACTATGTGGGTGAGTCCCGATGCCACCTTGTGCCCCCTCCCCATGCCATCACCCACAGTCCACAACAGTTCCCTCTCTTGGGCAGATAAACATGAGACAAAGCTGAAGGGTGTTATCTACTTCCAAGCCATTGAAGAGGTTTACTATGACCACCTCCGCAGTGCTGCCAAGGTGAGAGCTGGGCACTGCCCCTCCTGCGCTGTCTGCTGTCTGTGGGTGTCCCCATTTTCCTGCCCTCTGTCACGCTGGTCAGGGGTGGCAGGGCAGTGCGTGCCAGGGGTGCTCCTGGAATGGTCTGTGGCCCCTGATGGTGCCAGCCTCAGGGCACCAAGGGCAGGACCCCAGTGCTGGGCCTCGTGGGGGACTGGGGGGGGATTGCTGCTGCTCAGAGGGGAACAGAGTGCTAATTTCATCCTCCCCTCCAGAGCCCCAACCCTGCGCTCACTTTCTGTGTCAAGACCCACGACCGACTGTACTTCATGGTGGCACCATCAGCCGAGGCCATGCGCATCTGGATGGACGTCATTGTCACCGGGGCAGAGGGCTATACCCAGTTCATGAACTGAGGGCGGTGCTGTGCATCCCAGATCCACCAGCTGCATGGACTTGTGAGCCTCCCAAGCAGCGAGGAGCTCCTGAGGGACCGTGGTCCCTGCTACGCCTCCTGCCAAGGGCTGTGCACACCAATGTCACGGACCTGCGTTGGGCACAGCTGGCTGGTCCTGAGTGTTGCCTGTCCAGGCAAGGGAATAAGGTTTTTTTTATGCTGACTTTGTAGAAACAAACTTTGTTGGAACAATATCAAAGTGCTGAAATGTAAAAAGCTGCCATAGAGCTGCTGGGACCTGAGCCCTCTGCCTTGGGGAGGTGCTGGTTTTGAGGCTGATGCTGATTGTTACTGCCACAGTGTTCCAGGGAAGGAGACGGTGGGGGCTCCCCAGCCCCGTGTGGCCGGGATGTCCACTGTGTAGACTCAGACCCCTTTTGTAAACCTTTTAGAATTTCGGAGCGTTGTCCCCCTGTGCTGGGGCCGGATGGGGGTTGTGGCGCTGACTGCCCGGTCTTAAAGCATTTGTGAACCAGGCTCTCCTTTCTGCATGGGCTCTGAACTGGCAGCACGGTACAGACGGACCGGGGTCTGCCCCGGGGCTGGGGGGCTCTGGGCAGGGCTGGGAGGGAGCTGACGGGCACGGCATCGAGCACCAGAGATCGCGGGCACCGCGGCAAGGGCCCGGAGCCACCAGCGGGGAGCGGCCGGAACATCGGGACGGGTAGAGGCCAATGGAAGGGGCAGAGCCCGAAAGAGGAAGGGGTCCGGGGCCGAACAGGCCCGGCTGGATCCCCGCGAGCCGTGCCCAGCCCGAGCCGAACGCGAGCCATGCCGAACTTGGCCGAGCCGAACGAGGGCGGGGCCTGGGCGGAGCATGGGGGCGTGGTTCGCCAAGGGGCGTGGCTCGGCGGCGGCCTGCCCGCGAGGCGCCTCTCGGCCGCCAGGGGGCGCGCGCGGTGTAGGCGGCTCGCACGTGGCTCGGCTGCCGTGAGGCGCGCGCAAGCGCACGCGCAGTGCCAGCACGCGTGCCGCTCAGGCGGTCCCCGCAGCCCCGCCCACCTGCTCTCGGCCAATGGGGCCGCGGCTCCCGTTCGTGACGGCTTCCGGCTTCCCCCGACGTGGCCCAATAGGCGTGCGCGCGCTGTGCGATTGGCGCGCGGGGCCGGCCCTGGAAGCCGCGCCAATGGGCGCGTGCCGCGTGCCGGCGGGGGCGGGGCCAGACGGCGGGGCCGCTGCGGCGGGGCTGCTCCGCGCGCCGGGCCGGGCCGAGCCGAGCCGAGTGCAGCCGAGCGCAGCCGAGCCCCGCCGAGCGGTGCCGTCAGAGCATGGCGCGGTTTCCCGGCCGGGCGCTGCCCTGGCTGCTTCTCTTCAGCTTCCTGCCCGCTGCAGGTACGTGCGCGACGGTGCGGGGAGGCGGCAGCTTCCCGGGCGCTCCCTGCCTGGGCCGCGACGCCGCCGGTGTGGGGCCGGCAGGGAGCAGCGGCCGGTGCGTGGGTGCCTCCCCAGCGCCCTGTCCGGGCCCCTGCCTGTCTCGGCCGCCCACACCGGGAGCAGGTTCTCACCGAGGGTTTGTCTCCAGAGCCGGTGGCGGTGATGTCGGTGGACGTGGGCAGCGAGTCGATGAAGATCGCCATCGTGAAGCCTGGAGTGCCCATGGAGATCGTCCTGAACAAGTGAGCGGCCACGGGAGGGCCCCGGGGGGGATCCGGCCTGTCCTGTAGCCCCCCGCCAGCGCCGGGAGCGGGCGGCGGGGGAGGCTGGCCGGGACAGGCCGTCCCTGTTCCTCTCTTGCCGGAGGAAGGCTCCCATTTTCCCACGCAGGCTTGTGACTCGGTCTTGGCCCGGGTGGGGGCTACGGGGCATCGTCCAGGGCACTTTGTTAACTCACCTTTAAGGTGTTCGGGTGCGCTTTGGGGACCTTTCCAGCGGATGCCGAAAGCCCACGTGGTTAAGGACACGTTGTGGTGCCAACCCAAAAGGACACCCAGTCCCCTGGTCCTTAGTTCCCCTAAGGGAGTCCAGAGCCAGGTGTGTTTTGCTGCAGCTGTTTCTAAGTCCGCACTTGTAACACAGGTAAATCTCTTGTATTCAGCTGCTGCTGTAGCCTATCCTCAAGCCACTGAGTGAAGAATCTGCAGGTGAGAGAGGGCATATGATTTGGAACATCTTCGGTTTCTGGGAGTCTGGAGAGAACAAGAATATTTCTCACCCACCTCTCTGAAATTCAGCAGTGCTAGATACAATACGGGAACTGTCTTGCCTTGCTTATGGGCAGGAAAGCAAAAATAGTCTCATCAAAAGCACTGAAGTGGTGGTGGTGGGGGCTTGTCTAGTAGCCCCTCACCTGAGCAGAGGCTGGCCCCCCTCTCCAAACACCTTCCCTTAGTCCTTCTGGAATGGGAACAACATCCGTCTTCACTGGAGACTGGAATGTTCACCTTTTCCACTGGTTTATTCCTCCCTCTCTGTTCTCAGGGAGTCACGAAGGAAAACACCTGTGGCTGTTTCCTTGAAGGAAAACGAGCGTCTCTTTGGTGATGGTGCGCTGGGGATGGTAAGAGTTCCTGTTTGCAGAATGCATGTATCCCACATTGTCACAAACGTCTGAGACAGTGTTTTGTTGTTGTTCTGCGCCCCCCATCTCCTTGATGTGTTACTGGCTCTGTGTAGGGGCTGTGTGCTCCTACTCCCACAGCAGGAGTTGTTCCCCACGTAGTCTGGGAGGGATTGCTTTGACGGCAGTGTAACTGAAGGTATGCAAGTGGGTGATGTGTTTTTTCCTGCAGTCCATAAGGACGCCCAAGGTGGCGTTCCGATACTTCCAGGATCTGCTGGGTAAGCGGATCGATAATCCCCACGTGGCGCTGTACCAGTCCCGCTTCCCGGAGCACGAGCTGGTGAAGGATGAGACCAGGCAGACTGTTATCTTCAAGTTGTCCCCGTAAGTGGCTGCTTTTAGGTTCTTTGTGGGATGGATGTCAGCTACCAGGCTTCTGCAGCTTGCTGTTGATGCCATCATTTTCTTTCCCATTGCAGAACGATATGGTATTCTCCCGAGGAGATGCTGGGGATGGTCCTGAACTATTCACGTGGTCTGGCTGAGGAATTTGCAGGTTGGAAGGGCTTAGCTTTTTCTTGTCTATGTGTGTATGAGTTAGTGCACTATAGGATTTGAGGAGAGACCAAAAGCATTCAGAAACCCAAGGTTTTTGGAAACAGGATATTGGTTCTCTCCAGCTGTGGGCTGTAAGCAAGACTTAGAAGCTATTCGGTTATCATTTGTTTCTAATATGTTGCAAGTTTGGGATCTTGGATCTCTATCTCTATTTACCACCTAGCCTTGCAATGAAGGAGCCTTACAGGCAATCTCTGGAGAAAAGTGAAGTGTTTTCTTTATCATGTGTATGATCAGAGTGGAGGCACATGGAATGTGGCTGCTGGGGAGGGTGGAAATGGCTCTGTGAAGGCTGTGCTGTAGCTTTTCTGGATGGAAACTTGCTGTTGGAGCTGAACTAAAAGAGCAAAAATGGCCCTTTGCTGTGAGGCTTGCTGACAGAGAGGATGCTGTCGTGTGTATTTCATACTGCGTTGCTAATGAAATACCATAGTAATGAAAAGTGGATAAATTACTAGGAGGTTTTGTCATGTGGTCAGTGATACTCCAGCCAGTCCAAAGACTTTTTACTGGAGGGTGAATATGATGCAGTGGCAGTGTAAGGCTCCATGAAGATAGTATTTGTTGGAATGGAAGGCTGCCCAGAGCATTTGAGAGTATCCTGACACATTAAAGAGTAGCCAGTAGACTTGTGGCTTTGTGTGAATATGCCAGGTCTGCTTGGTTTCAGCAGGATACAGAGATTCATCCCTAGGGATCCTGGCTACTGCTGCAGGGTTGCATTCTTTGTGGGTCTTTGCCTCTGGTCCTCTGGGTTTGCTGCTGTCACTCCATCTCAACAAGTCTTTGCATGTGGCTACACTGATGCGGGATTCCCTGCAACTGTTTCAGAGCAGCCCATCAAAGATGCAGTGATCACAGTTCCTGCCTACTTCAACCAAGCCGAGAGGAGAGCGGTTCTGCACGCCGCCCGCATGGCTGACCTCAAGGTGCTGCAGCTGATCAACGACAACACGGCTGTAGCGCTGAACTATGGGGTTTTTAGGAGGAAAGACATCAATGCCACGGCACAGGTAGGCGCATTTGAGGGATGCGTAGAGTCCTGCCAAGTTGCCTGCATGCAGGGGGGAAAGTGCTTCAGAAGAAATCCAAAGAACTTGAAGTAGACTCTGCTGATCAAGCAATCTCCTCTGTTTTCATGTGGTTTGTCAATAAGACAAAGAGATTAAACGCTGTGTGCATGTATGGTGAAGCCTGAAAGCTGCTGGAGTGAGGACAAGTCCTGGAAGTTCCCATTTTGTAAACCTGTTCCTTGCCCATCAGCTGGGGAAAATAACAGCAGCGATTACTTGAAGTATTGGAACACTGACTCAGAAGTACTTGATTTACCTGAGGCTGAAGAAAGAGCAAAACTTTGGGTTTTGGACTGTGAAACAGATTAGAAGTTTTCTCGTCTCCTGTCAAACATGACCCTGAACATCACCCGTGTTTGGTCAAAAATGGTATAAAGTAGTCCAGGGAGTAGGCAGTTGCGGCCTGTATCACACTGAAAGGTTCTTTACTTATTTGTGGGGGGATGTCCGGGTGTTTCTGCCTCACTGTCCCAACTTCTCTTTCCAGAATATCATGTTTTATGACATGGGAGCAGGAAGCACTGTTTGTACTATTGTTACTTATCAGACAGTGAAAACTAAGGACTCGGGAACCCAACCTCAATTGCAGATCCAAGGCATTGGGTAAGAATTCCACACAAGTTGCACAAATCCCACAGGTCTCAGAAAAGAAACCATTTGTTTCACAATCTTCATCATGCAGAATTTTGCAGTGAAGCTTCAGTACAGTAATTTGGATGGCTGAGGGGGAGCAAGAAGGCTTCAGTTTGGAATAATTTTGGTATTGCTGTCTTTTACAGAAGGTAGCTGAGAACTTCCAGGAGCCTAGGAGGGGACCAGCATACTTAGTTTGCTTTAAGCTTTCCTTTGTTAGCCTCAAACCACGTAAACCTATTCCATTGCATGTAATCTTTTAAGTGTATCAGTTGGAAAAGAGGAGTATGCTTCTAGAGAAGAATGAAAATGCAGTGGACTCAATGCATTGCCAAATAAGGAGGAGGGTGCTGTGCCTTCCCAGCCCAGCAATTTTAATTCCAAAGCATTTATATTGCTGTTTTCAAGATACCTGGGACCCGATACAGTTGTCCATTGGTTTCTTGGCTGCTTTAAATGCTTGGCAATAAGATATTTACCTAAAATATAATGAAATGTGCTGTTGAAAGGCTGTTGTGGTGGTGAATCTCTTATTTCCATCTTTCTGTCATTATAATGTGTTATTTTGGGGACAACCTTTGTTGTTTCACAGTCATGACAGCTGATAATACTGCAGCTATTTTTGACCACTTGCTGCTCTGCACATTTGTGAA